TGTCCGCTGTTTACGTTTGGTAGCCAACTGCTGCGACTTGAAAAGACAACCTTCGGAGCTTCTTGCTACATCATTGTAATAATGGCTATCCTGCTCAGTGGCGCGGACTGCGCAACCGCGGCTTAACAGACAGTCAGTCACCATGCATGGTACATGGTCACTTGACTTGAGACGAAACAAGTTGAGTATGCACCGAGGACAACACGACGCCGCGCGCTGCGTGCCATGCAGGGAGTCGTAGACCATGCGCATATGCATGCATGGTAGACGTCTCACCTACACGGCTACAGCTACATACGACTCCCTACACTACAGCAGGCCCTGGACTGGTAGTGCCATGGCTATCGGTTTGAGACACGTCATAATTATTTGACTCCATTATGTTCACATGTACAATGATTATGTAATTGTTACCTGTCCTTGGTGTAGTTGTACGGGTAGTCACGTCAGGGAGTATTTGACGACTACCTGGTTAGCACTAGCAGTGCTGTAGATCAGGTAGACTAGAGAGTCAAAGAGTTGGTGGACAAGCCGTTGATTATTCACTCTCATTGTAATATCAAAAAGTATTCTTTCTAGACCAAAGAGTGGTATATTTGATAACATTTAATAACGATAGAAATTTCCAGACGTTTCGTTGTTCTGAACAACATCGTCAGTGGATAAAGAACTTTATCCACTGACGATGTTGTTCAGAACAACGAAACGTCTGGAGAAATTTCTCTTTAATAACGATAGAAATTTCTCCAGACGTTTCGTTGTTCTGAACAACATCGTCAGTGGATAAAGAACTTTATCCACTGACGATGTTGTTCAGAACAACGAAACGTCTGGAGAAATTTCTATCGTTATTAAATGTTATCAAATATACTACTCTTTGGTCTAGAAAGAATACTTTTTGATAAGACTAGAGAGTGTAGTACAGTCAGATCTCGCTTATTCGGTCTTCTTTTATCCGGATCCCTCGCCATCCGGAAGAAAATCGTTGGGTACCGATTTACAGCATATGCCATGCATACATACAGTATGTGTGTTCGATTATCCGGTTCCCTCGCCTATCCGGATATTTTCGTGGAAAACGGATGTGTGCGGTTATGTGAGGTCTGACTGTACGTTATATTTTCGTGGAAAACGGATGTGTGCGGTTATGTGAGGTCTGACTGTACATGTAGTAGCTTTGATCAGACTCAGACTCTCATAGCTAGCCACGGCATGAGTGCAGAGCAGGGAGTCGTAAAATATTGTGCAACTCTCTCGTGCAGAGGCTAGTCACCAAGCATGGCCTAATCCGCACAACACCCACCCTCCTCTTGCCCCCAATGCTCCATACACTCGTTCCACTGCCACTCCATATGTGTACATGCGCATGCACAACCAATTCCTTGCACGTTTGGACAGTGGTTGATCTCATCAGTGACAAGAATGAACAACAACATGTAGTGGCAGACGGAACATAACGTTACAACAGTATCAACCGTGACCATACCATACATGGCATAGCCGTTTGGTCAGGTTCTATGTACATGTACATGTATAGTGTACATCAGATTGACAAGAACATATTCATTTGAAATAATATTCTTGCTGAATCTCCACGTGCAGTCAGTGCCGTATCAATGATTCAAAACGCTGCATATAATAACTAGACATAGAGTAATTTGAATGCCACCAAGTTATTATTATTACTGCTGCTTCAATTTTTGAATGCAGCGCGGGTACTACATATACATGTACATGTCATTGCTGCTCAGAACATCAGGAACGTAGTGCTCACATACGATCCACATGTAGCGAAGTATGAATTCTGTTACGGTCACCTATTTACATACATCCGATCCATGTGTCCACACATCTTTTAGCGAATCTGTTCTGGACACATGGAGTGGATAAGAGAGGCACTGCTGACAGTCACATGACTATACATGTATATGCAGCAATGGAACAAGTCATATCCAGACTCCACAGACTCAGTGCTTTGGTACAAACCGTGATGACTGTCGTCATGATAACAGCTGCATATTGGACTAGTGCACAGTGAGAGCCATGGCAATAACCATAATCACAGTCGAGTGACTTGATCATCTTTGTGGCAGAGTGAGACTATCCAGTACAGGTCACCTGTCACGTTTTGAATAGTTTCCGTGCTACCCGTTCTCTCGTGGTATCCAGTGAGGGTACGGTGGCCATGATCCACCGTGAGTTGAATTATGTCACCAGTCTGCCACGGCTGACCAAGCGCTGTGCCATTGTGAAAAGGGAGTGAAGTAACGCCCCACCACCCATAACACTGTAACTGATCTTGTTGGCAGGTTTCCAAATTTGGAACACTGGATGAGCAGGCAGAGAGAAAGATACCGCCGCCGGCTGTCCTATCTATCCTCACCTTCTGTGTAGTACTGTCAGTGTGCATGCATGTTGATCAGTGTAGTACACACTGATGCATAGCCCCCTGTAGACGCGACGCACTTGACAGAGGCTCCATCACCTTCAATCGCCAAATGACTGCTACAGCGGGCTGCATCGAACACCGGCTTTGTCATAGCACTAACGAGCAGCCCATGTGGACTTCCTTGCAAGTGACAACCAGCAACAGTAGCTGCCACAGTGTGTAGACCAGCTGGCAGTGATCCCTGATCAATCTGAACACGTCCAGGTAATGATTCACACTGAGTGTCCAAACTAAACACCTCCTCATCATCACAGCTCTTCACAGTGACTCTAATGGCGATGTTGTCAAGTTGTGCTTGGCTAACAACGGTGGCCAGGGGAGGATTATATGAAGCGTCAGTTGTGGTGGCTGAAGAAGAAACCATATCCCTCCTACACGCATCCAGTTGGAGACGAAGAACGACATCGTCATGAGTCGCTACTTTAGCAGGACATTCCAGTACGGCACGGTCAACCACATCCAGAACAGCTCCACATTTCTCAATGCCATTCTCCAGTTCCGTGGTGTCGGTACTGACAAAGACGATTCCACCAGCTGTGCATGGCTCCCCTTCCACTCCTGCTGTTTTCATGGCTTTGTCCAAGGCTCCATCTATCCACAGAACCATACGCAGCAGGTCAACATCATTCGAAAGTGACTTCAGAATGAGCCGAGCACTCTCCACTTGTGCAACACACTCTTGTAGGCGATTTAGCTGCTTTTCCAGTGGTATCAGCTTCTTTGACCTCATGGCATCCAGCTCCGCTAACAGGTCTGCTTCGCGTTTCTTCAATCTTTCAACCTGCTCCTTGATAACGTCGGTGACCTTAGCAGAAGCACATTCTGTTTGTTCATTCAGTGCTTCAATGTTCCTGCTAACATTTCTCATGGCTTTGTTGATGACACCATCAGATTCGCATGTGCAGCTAGCTAACTTTTTAGAAAGCTTGTCACGTGACATTTGACTTGCACTCGGGATGTCCAAGACCTGATGATCTTGTTTGTGTGAAGGTGCCAGCTTGCATCTTGGGCACAGAATCTGGTTACATTGGACGCACAATCGATCCAACTTTTCATTTGCGTGCAACGCACACTGGGAATCTCGTTTGCCGCGTGTTCTGCCTGTTGATCCTGTACTGCTAGACATTTTAGACGAGGAGGTGGCAATTCGGATGAGCGGTTTCACAATATGCCCTTTGGTTCCTTTGTTCAGAGAATGTACGCCGGCGTGTGCCTCACACATTCTCACATGGCAGTTCTCACAACTGCTTGTTGCTGGAGTATCGTCTCCGCATTCTTCGCATGCAGCTATCGCCTGACTCTCATAATTACCTGCTACACTCTCCAGATTTCCATGGAGCACAACGATTGGCAGTGACCGTAGCGGCTCCACACCAACAGGCAGCTGCGTGGAGGAGAAACATTGCGGACACTTGATTGATCCGTCGAAGTCGATGTTATTTTGCACACAGGGAATGCACAGCGTGTGCAGACAGGAGATAAACCTTAGAGTTGTGCTCGATGAGCCACAATCATTGCACTGAGCAGTCGACATTGTCCGCTGGCTAGTACGTTTCAGTGCCAACTGTGACTTGAAAAGTAAACGTTCGGAGCTTTATTTCTTTTTTCGACTAGGCCTTTCGAACCATTACTTTCAAGTAAGTTGAATACAGCAAGCGAGTCCTTATCAAGCCAACTAGGTGTATCCGGCACTTATACTAAGTTATAGGCGGTCAGAACAGTGACAAAAATAGCACCGAACTCTAAGAAAGGGCTGGTGGCTGGTGCCGCCAACTACACAGAGAGACATACATAGCGTATTATCAAACAACAGTAGGGACCACGGTACTACAAAGTACAATGTGAAAACAGTTCCAAGCAAAACAGTGATAACTACTGTCTAAATGACCAGACTCTTCCTGATACTTTCGCACGTGCTTCTTCTGCAGTGACTGTACACACAGTTCACAGTGCCAATGCCGGCAATGGTTCATCATGAATTTATGATTAGGCGTCGGCCTTCGCTTGGGTGTAGGTACTAGACTTGGTCTACACGGCCCTCCAGCATAGGATAGCACAACAATAATGAGATTTGTTGCGCGCACGCGCTTTAATAGCGCTTGAATAATAGAGAGGTTGAGATGCACGTTATTTCTGACGTGACGCGAAAGTTCCGCTCGCGTTATTTGCTCGCACGTCGAAAATCAACTCGAGTGCGAGTGACCTGCTGCTCACGTGATCACGTCGAAAGTTGGAGTTTTACGCCAAATTTTACGTGAAATTGCGCGTCACGTCGGAAATAACGTGCATCTTAACCTCTCTATTGTCGTGAAGTCACGTGTAAGCTTCACCAAGACCAAAGCCTCAAAGGCTTTGGCAAAGCTATGGTATGGAGTATGGTAGTGAATGCCCGTCGCCACCATCCGGCCTTTTACTGTTTTAGAGTTGCCTGAGGGTAGCATTGAGCTGGTGCCTGATTTTACGTATCTCGGCAGTTGTATTTCTTCGGATGGCCAGATGACTGCTGAGATCTCGGCTCGCTTGGCGAAAGCTTCCCGAGCATTTGGCACAT